GGAGGTTTCTGGAGGTGAAGTTGCAGAGGTTTCTGGAGGTGAAGTTGAAACGTCGCGCGAAAGGGTTGTGATTCAATTTTGGTTTCGGTTGATGTCGTTTTGGTTCAGTTTTGGTTTGATGTCGTTTTTCAGTTTTGGTTTAAAACTAAATACTGAAAATGGCATATGTTGTAATTTTCATATTTTGTAATGGTATTTTTGTTACATTTTGGTTTTTTGCCTTTTGCTAATTAGACTAAATTGTATTTCTTTCTACTAAATTAGTAAACTATATTATGCTTTAAAACTAAAGCTCCCTAAATTATAACACATTCAAGACTTCAAAGATTTGATTCGTACATTAATTGTGTTATCGATACAGCTTGGACAAGTCAAGCTGAGCTCGATTCATTTAAGAAACGAGTCAAACTTGAGCCTAGGCATGTTTGGTTCATAGAGCTTATAATTAAAATTTGAGCACTGTGAAATAAGCCAAATCAAGTAAAAATGTCGATAAATTTTGAACTTTAGCATGTGATATTCAGTTTTTACACCCCAATTTTTTATGTGACATGCGTCGGCCTTTTGCTTGCTAAGTTGCTAGCCTAGCCTAGCCTATGTGCATTCTCGACACAAGGCAGCAACAACAAAAGTCAGTCAGGGCTCAGGACTCGGGAGCAGGGGTGGTAATTTCGGGCACAACTCATTACACGATTTGAAATTCGCATGAAAAATTAGCAGGTTCAATCCGTACTATTAAAATTCATGTCATTTTTAGGTCAATTCAACATGACCCGTTCAATAAACAAGTGAATTTCAAGTCAATCTGTCAACCCGTTAAAATACCTATATAACATGTTTAACAAAATGAGTCATAATGGGTGGTCAATCTGCTAAAATCCCTATTAACCAGCTAAAATACTTATATAACCCGACAACCCTGAACCCTAAATCATAAATCCTTAGGATACCTATATAACCCACTAACCCGTTTAATTATTTATTCTTATTTATTTAATATTTTAAATGTTTTTTAATTACTATCACTTAATGTGTCAACTTGACATGACCCAAAATCTACACGAAAAATTAATGGGTTAAATCCGTGCACATGACACGAGAGAACATGAGCAAAATTAAAGCCAGCGAAAAAGACAAAGCAGTCCACAACTCCAAACCAAACCCGGAATAAGGTTTTTAGCACAGTAATCATTTCCGGGCCTTCCCGCTGGTGACTTTCCCCGCTGCTTTCTCTCCTCGCCGGTACCCTTTGTTTGATTTTCTTTTATAATGTGAGCTTTCCCTTTTCGTTGGTTTAGGGTTCTTTTGCGTCGTTTGTATATAATAAAAGATCCTAAACCCCCAATTTTGTTTTCTTTAACGTTCTGAGGTTTCCACAGTGAATAGTAAAAAGGGCGTTTCCAACATTCAGCTGAGTTGCAGAAAATCTAGCCATGTCGGAGAAAGGAGGAAAAGGGTTTTCTTTGCCTACTGGCAAAGCAGTAAAATCTTCACTGAAATCTACCCCTTCTACAAAGGATGGTCTGCTTTTTCTTCGCTCTTTACTTTTCTTAACTTGTAATGCTACTCTTGCCTTTTCTTCTTTTTTCCCTTTTTCTCTTTAAGACATTAGATAATTCTGTCTCTGTAGCTTCCTTGAAAGGGAAAGATGATAGCTCAACAAAGTCCAAGAAGGGGAGAAAAGTCCAGTTCGATTCTGAAGGTTGATCATGTTTCTACACTCTATCTTTTCCTATTTAACTTATTCTCATATTTTAGTCATGCATGTGCTTATCTTCTTCAATCGTCAACATCTATAATGTTGTTACTTGAATTTACAGGTTTGCATGAACCCAAATCCAACTTCTCGTCAAAATTTGATAACCCAGCTGCTGCCTCAGGGAAAGGTCTGATATTGTTTGAAATTCAGTATTCTGATGAATATCCATTTTGATCACTCATCTGATGTTTTCTTGTTCCCTTTTCACAAAATGTGATTTTTTAAGCTGATTGGGGCAAAGGGGGAAAAGGAGACAAGGTTGGAAATGGCAGAAAGAAAGAACCACAGCCACTGGAGCTCAAAATTGAGCAGGGTGAGCACTTTCCTTGGCCATAGAGTATTTTTCTGCTATAACATGTTATGTTTACTTACTAATTAAATATACACCGACTACTATAGTATCTCAGTGTTCAGTTCTGTGTGTTTCATAATATCAAATAATTGTCATTTTTGTTAATGCTTGCAGAACTGCCACAGAGTGCCAAATGTCTGATGGATTGTGAGGCTGCGGATATACTACAAGGAATCCAGGAGCAAATGATCCTGTTGTCTAAAGATCCTACTATTAAAATCCCTGTGTAAGAATGAAGTTAATTATTTCTCAATAGAAGGATGGCAATTGAGAAAATGGTTGTTGGTTATTGCAATCGATGTTTGTTTTGTGTATATGAAGTGCTCCAGTTGGTTTGCTTTCAGATCATTTGACAAGGGACTGCAGTACGCCAAAAGAACCAGCCACTATACCAATCCCCAATCTGTCAGAAAAGTTCTTGAGTATCCTTGATTGGTTCCTTTACATTTATATGTTCATGGGCGTGTGTGTATGTGCGTGCTTGAGAATGCTTGATTTGTTCCTCAAGGTTATATGTATGTTTAGATGAATATCTTTCTTTGCCATTGAACTCTTAACTTGAATATTAGGACTCTCACAAAATATGGTGTCTCAGATGGCGAGGTCACAATCTCAACCTTTGGTATTAGTTTTTAAAATTTAAGCAATGGTATTTGATATTAATTTTCTTGCCGCAGATAAGTGTGATTGCCAATGTTTGTCCCGAAACCACTGATGAAGTTTTTGCTCTAGTACCATCCTTGAAGGTAGAGTAATGTTCATAAGAAGATTGTAATTTGTGGCTAGTATTTTCTTTGACCGTATTGAATGATCCAGATAGAAATTTTTAGTTTATATATATATGTGTGTGTGTGTGTGTGTGTGATTTTTTGTTTTTTTTAAATGCTTTAGTTCTGCTCTGGAATAACTCTACCGTGTTTCTATTTTGTCAGAGTTTTCTTGTTTTTGATGTGAAGGCTGAAAAAGGCATAAGTGGTTTTCACTCCTTGAATTAATTGCAATTGAAAAGTTGATATCCTCCAATCTCTTTTTGGAATGATATTATTTCCTGATGTATTTTTATCATCAATGGTCCATGAACTATGCGAAATTCATCAATTTGATCACTTTTGTTTTTGGTCTGAACATCAAATTGGTCACTAAACTTCAAAATTAATCAATGCCATCCCCATCTTAGGGGCATAGTTGTCAAACTAATTAGAACCTACATCTCCCATCTCTTGATCCTCACTCACGGCCGCATCACCTCTTTCTCCCTCTCCTTGCATCGTTTGTCTTTCTCTCTCAAGTTTCCTTTTCCCCTATTTTCAGTTTCTGTATGTTTCTTTCGTCTCCTCTTTTTTACTCTTTCTGATTGAGCCACCAGAAACCTTCTTCTGAGTCTCCCATGGATCCCTTTGGATTTTTTCATTTCCATGTATGCATTCTTCTTTCCAGCTGCCTATGAGCCTATGATAATGCTTGTAACTATTAGTTTCCCGTGGAACTGTTAAGTTACTGAAAATTCTACTTCTTGAATTTCTGCATATGGACTGTTTATCTCTATTTTTGTTTTCTAAGTGTGCTTACGAAAGCTATTCAATTTTCCCTTGACTAATTCGACAGTGTTTTTGTTTTTCTAATCACTTGAAGCTAGTATTTTATAATAATAATAATTTTTTTCTTCCAGACTACGAGAAGCGTGCTCAGCCAACCGCTCAAAGAAGTCTTAAGTGAGCTAACTAAGCTTAAACAGTCTACATAAGAAAACTCTTAGAAGTGATGATGCCTGGTAAGATATATTAATTTACATGTTGCTTTTAAATGGTATTATCTTGCTGCCTTGTACGTAGTATGATTGGTTGGGTATTCTGGTAAACTGATGCAGGCTACTGGATGCAAATGGCACTCATATGGAGGGATCTTGCTTTGTGTAGTATCAAGGGTAGAGCGGCAGCATAACCTACTATCCTCATGTGACATGTATTAATGGTCTTTGGGAATTTTGTATGAATTTCCTGGACCTGGAGATGCTGTGGAATTTCCTTCTCCATAGCTGCTCTCCTTTGACTGGTTCTTGATAGTAGTTTTCTTCTATGTTTTGCATGACGAATGTGAATTTTACTGGATGGTATGTTGACTTTAACATCAATAGAAGTAGAGAGATATTTCTTTTTTTTCTTTTTTTGGTGAGGTAAGTCAGTAGAGAGAGTTCGTTGGCCGATTTGATGGCGAATGTGAATTTTACTTGGATTTCTTCAGTTCATGCATTTTTTGACGATTTTCCTCAGGAATCATACATTTTTAAAGAAAAGGTCAGCAATATCATGAATAAAGGGGAGACGAGTGAGAGGGGAAAGTATTTTGTTTTGGTGCTTCATTCATTTTGCACCTTGGATTTGGTGAATTGATTGAGGCCTTGGATTTAGTGAATTGATTGAGGCCTGTCTGTCCTCCTGTAATCACGTCTTAACTTAAGGGTAATGATTTCCCCATTTCAATTTTATTCATTTACACTTATTTTTTAGTTATAAAATAGAGTGTAAGTGGATAAAATTGAAGTAGGGAAATCACCGCTCTAACTTAAACTCAACCATTTGGCTATCCTCGAAGTGGGTCCACTCCAGGGCGGAAATACCTCTTCTATTATTCATTTCTAGGTATTGATTTGAAAAAGAAAAATTAAAAGAAAAGAAAAGAAGAAATTTATATTTCGGGATTATTTTGTTTTAATTTGCTATGCCCCTATGCGTACGTACTGTATGCCTGCCTCTTCAATTCTTTCTTATACGGGAGAAAAGAAAAAGAAAAAGAAAAAGAAAAAGAAAGGAAAAAGTGAAATATCATATGATATTCTAACCATCATCAGAAGATGGAGGGGGGAAGTCAAGTGGAAATCGGTGCAGAGAGCAGTTATAGTTGGCAAGTGAGAAGGTAAAGTCAACCATAACCATCATCAGAAGACCATTCAGAATGGGAAAAGAAGAAGAGTACCAAGAAAGGGAATCAAACGTCGAAACAGATGAAGAAGAAGATGATGATGATGATGATGAAGGGGAAGAGAAATGGAGAATGCACTACTCATCGAGGCATAGGATATTGCTGGTGGGAGAAGGAGACTTCTCCTTCTCTCTTTCTTTAGCCACCCATTTCGGATCTGCCCGCAACATGGTAGCCACTTCTCTCGATTCCCAGGGTAACCTCTCCTCCTGCCTCCTGTTTTACCAATATTTTGATTTTGATTTTGATTTTGATTTTGATTGTTATTCTTATTTTATTTATTTGCAGAGGAGATTGATAGCAAGTACAGTAATGCAATAGGGAATGTGAGGGAGCTTGAAGAAAGGGGATGCATAGTGATTTACGGAGTGGACGCCAAGCAAATGAGTCAACACTTCTTCCTCAGCACTCAGAGGTTTGACAGGATTGTCTACAACTTTCCTCATGTTGGCTTTCTCTTCCGGGAGGATAGCTACTGCCAGATCCAGTAACTCACTCTCTCTACTTATTATAACTACTTTTCATTATCTCAATTCAATTCAATTTAATTCATTCATTGCCCTTTTAATATCATTTGATTCGATTAAATTTTCTACTTTGTTCATGTGAATTTGATTGATGGATGAAACCCCAAATAATTATTTATAATTAATACCTCTGCTCTACTACTACTACTACTACTAGGTTGAACAAGAGGTTGGTGAAGGGTTTCCTGCAGAATGCTAAACTTCTGCTGAGAAAAGAGGGTGGGGAGATTCATATAACCCACAAGGAAGGTCATCCTTACAACAAATGGGATTTAGTGAGGAAAGCACACAAGATAGGGCTGCTTCTCACTCAAACTCTGCCCTTCCGCAAAGACGACTATCCCGGTTACGACAACAAGAGAGCTCATGGTACCCTTTCCGATGCCTCTTTCCGCCTTGGCGATTGCACTACTTACAAGTTCAGGCTGCCGCCTTGTTAATCCCCCCTTATTTTTAGGCTCTAGGCTTTTAGCCTTGCTTCTTAGTTTCTTATGAACACCAAGAGGCCCCTTTCTTTCTTTTTGTTTGTGTGAGTGTGATCGACTGAATCTCTGAATTACAAGATTACAAGATTACAAGATGGTGTGACATGTATTATTATATTAAACTCTTTTTCTTTACTACAAAATACACACTATATATTTTAATAATTCAATACCACACGTCTCTTGCATGATACCCGAATTACACACCTCCATTAGATCACTATACTACTTATTTATCACCTAGTCCTATACTCAGCATTCGTTTAGTTTCAGAAGAGGGGGCCGCCAAAAACCCACTTAAGAAACCACTTTTCACATTACAAAAAACCAAGCCCTCCATGCAATCAGCATCCAAACAATGACCCACCTCCTGTAAACTTGAGAACTAGAACAGGAACTAGAACTAGACCTAGTATCCGTAACGCCAACCAGAAACCTGCAGTCACCAATAGAAGGGTCAAGGAAGGTGACCATACCAAGCCCATCAAAATCACAGCTCCGTTCATTCTGCATTTGCAGCTGATAGTAACTGTTGAACGCATACGAGATGTTTCCCTTTGCTCCAATTCCGTTACATGACCCCCCATAGGTGAGCGTGGTGCAATCTGCAACACCACATGCAAGTTTCATGTGGTTTGCCACACCTGACAAATCACTAGATGGGTTTGCCACACACCACCTAGATGGCAGATACTCAACTTTCCTTGCATTTTTTAATCCTCTGCCTCCTAAACCAAGGTTCAATGGATATTTAGCCTGCCCATCAAAGGAAAAAATCCCCCAGTGCCTTTCAAAGTTTCCTGGGAGTGTGCTCTTTGCTCCTTCATCCAGCAGACTGAAAAGATATACATCCACGGGAGGGACACCTGGCCTTAGAGGGGTTCCTTTGTTACTGAGGACATGATTTATGAGACCTTGGTTGAATACCCTTGCAGCAGTGAGATTCCCACTGATGGCTCCATCAGTGGGCCACCCAATCTCCCCAATAGCTATGGGCATCTGACCATATCCGAGCTTGCTGAGGGCCGCGACTAGCGTGTCAAAGTTTCCATCAAATGCATTGTAGTAAACATTGGACCCATCTGTAACAGGATGGCTTGTCCCTTCGAAGAATGCATAATCTTGAGGAAAATCTGAGCTTCCATAGAGACTTAGAAATGGGTAGATATTGACTACAAAAGGAGAACCATTTGAGTTGAGAAACGAAACGAGTTGAGTCATAATTTGTGTCAGTTCAGGTCGAAATGCCCCTTGAGAAGGAAGAGAAGACTCGTATGCATCAGCATTGCAAGGGACGACTAACTTCACGTAGCTTGCAAGATTCACTTTAGCCAACGACTGTTGTAGATTGAGCAGGACAGGCATGACATATGATTGAAATTGACCGGAGTAACTTGAAAGGAAGGGCTCATTTCCTACTGCAATATACCTGCAATCATAAGACAAGAATTGAATAACAGAACTCTATATATGTGTGCAAAAGTTTAAACAGATGCAGAAGAAACAATTCTTACTCTAACATTTAAAATATTCAAGTCTTTTTTGAAAAATCGAAGTGTCAATTGGAGAATTGAGTTAAATTCCAATGTGAAATGCACTCACTTCCGTCTGGCTCCTATACAGTGAGTTAACTATCCAGGTGGATGTACGAACTCAAGGACACAAAGGTATGAGTATGATCCTATCTTGTGGCATTCTTAGAGGGGGGTCTAGGAATGTTTCTGTTTCTGTTTGAATAATTTGTTTTAAACAATGAATGGATTTGAATGAGCTCACTCTTGGTCATTATCATAATGAAGGTGGGCAAAGCATATGCCATATTCCATGGGATGATTGATGTCCTGTTTATAAGAAGCTTGCTATGAAGAATGGAAAAAGCAGTCTGGTTTAAGAAGGTGAACCAGCTATTAGAGCTTCATAGACCATGCGTTGCAGAACAGGGGATTATCAGAAGTTCAAAGTTCCAAACCAAAAGTTACATCTAGTTGAACAATAAATACATCTTGTTAATAGCTAAGCTAGGGGTTGATAATACTGTGAGGTCAGCTTGTTTAATATAAATATGGAACTTTTAAACCAAAATGTATTCCCTAATAAATAGATGAGCATCTTGTTGGCAAGCTGCAGCCTCATATCTCAGGCTGCATAGATCTAGCTGATCACTTGACAAGGAGAAGAGAATGTGATATGAGTCTGCAGAGCAGCACAAGGAGGGATGGTGGCAAAAACAAATGAAAAAAGTTGTTCGGTTTTCATTTTTGAGCAACATCAAACAAGAGCACAAAAGATTGAAAGAAGAAGCAGAATAAAAAGGAAAAGGAGAAGAGGAGGGACCTGATATCGACACCATTTTTACGCATATATCTGGACACATTCTGGCGAACCCATGAATCAGAGGCAGCAGTGGAAGAGCTCAAGGCGGCCAACATCTCATTGGGGACGCCAATCATGACCTGGATCCCACTGCCCATGAGGGCCTGAAGAGAATCTGGGTCGGCATCGAAAAGCTTGACCTTGGATATCTTGTTGTCTTGCAAGAGATCTACCACTGTAGAAGGCTTGAGCTTGTGGAATGAGACGGTCCCCCAGTTCACTCCTAGGGCTGATTCTGCCACTGGGGCTGAGCTCCAACTCACTATTACTAATAAAGAAAGCAGAGCAGCTGATAATATTCTCAACCTAAACCTGCCTTGTAACATTTTGTCTGAACTGAAAGTGAAAGTGAAAGCCCAACTCCACTTTTGAAGAACCACCACCTCTTTAATCATTCATTCATTTATTCATTCAAGTGGTCGGCCAATGGAAAAGAGAGAGAGGCGCCTGAGCTGAGAGGCGCGTTTGCAGGTGGCGCTAGGCGTGGTGGGTGGTTACTCTTACGAGCGAGCGGGCGAGAGAAAGACTGGTAATTGCTAAATGATAGATAGGGAAGGAATAATAAACAGTGCAGTGCAACCAACACAGCAAGAAGAAGAGTAAAGTAGAAGCAGCTTGACGATATTTATTTGTCGATGAATGATGATGCACCTAGTGAAATGTCTTATATACCCTCCACCAGCCAGCTAGCCGACTTCCCAAAGGCCAAAACAACAGTATTCGGATAGATAGATACTATGTCGGTTTGGTCGGTGAAGTTGAATTTATTCTGGATGCGTAACAATTTCAATTTGCCCCCTAAAAGCTTAGCTGCTGGAAACTTGTGAAATAACTGGACACATGGGTTTGGTTTTAACTTTTATTACAAACGAGATTCCAGATTCCCTTCCCCAGCAAGTACTCACAAAGGTAGGCCCAAAAAGCAATTGGTTGGGTTCTCTATTTTTCTTTACTTTATCAAAGTGAGTGTCGCATCGCTGCGGGATTATTGGCTGCCTGCCTGCCTGCCTATTCGAATTTCATATATATTTTTAACACAACACATTGCTGCTCATTAGCGGATTCCTCCAGGACAGCCTTCTCTTGTTTTACTTTATTTTTCCTCCTACTTTCAACCCCAACACAAACTTTTTGTTCAGAAAATAAATTAAAAGTGTCATCATATATAATATTACATCCAAACTCTCACTTCATCTGAACACCAAGCAGCAGAACAGAACACAGGTTGTTTTCAAAGCTAGATAGCTAGCTCTCTCTCTCTCTCTCTCTCTCTTGGCTGATTGATTAGCTAGCTCTTTGTCTGAAAATCAGGCTGGTTGGTGACTGATCTGACCCAGGCCCATTTATGGTCTCTAGTATCGACTTCATTTTTAGCCTTTGCGACCTCTTCAAGTGGAATGTAAGCATAGTTTCCATTGACGGGGCCAGACACAAACCCAGTATACCCTGCCATGACTCCATGAATGGCTGAATGCGCAACAAGCGTGCAGTACAAGTTATCTGTCGCATTTGCAGGGACGGCGCGTATCATGTAGGTGGGATCTATGTACTTGACTGTGAAGAGCTCATTTGGGTGCTCCCTCCTCCACCACTTGTTTAGCTCCGACTTGAGCCATTGCCCGACGTCCAGGAACACTGGGTCCCCTGATTCATCTCTACCACCAGCGGCCCTTATACTTATGTCCTCCTGTTTCTGGTTCTGAGCATCATCCTCATTAATTCTGTACATGCCCGTCCTCCTCCTCATATAATCCTGTCCGGCTCCCTCAGCCACCACCAACACTGCATGTCCATTCTCCCTCAATCGCTTCTCAAGGAATTCGAATAGCCCTCCTTTTCCTTCCAGGTAAAATGGAATTTCAGGAATTATGCAGCAGTCCACGTCACGGCTGCTCAATGTTGCATGCAGAGCAATATGACCTGTACTTCGACCCATTAACTTCACCAACCCTATTCCATTCACTGCACTCTCAGCCTCCACATGAGCTGCACTTATTGCCTGCTGCGCCATTTCTACTGCTGTCTGGAACCCGAAAGACCTGTCAATGATACCTACATCATTGTCCACAGTTTTCGGAATCCCAGTCACTGCAATATTCAGTTTTCTGCGACGAATCTCATGAAATATCTCCACCGCCCCGCGCATCGTGCCGTCTCCACCTACAATGTACAGCTGTAGGTACAAACAACATTTCTTATACAATCAATAAATCCATCATATGTAATTATATATATATATATATATATATATATATAAGACAAATCAAAGTGAGGTGTGATTTGTAAAGATCTGTAACCTACCTTAATGGACATTACTTATAGGTAATTTGTGAATACGCTTTCTTAAAGTGAGAATGACTTCCTAAAGATAAAAAATAAAAAAAGTTTGCTCAGCTGTGTTGGTCTAGCCACCTTGATACATATTAAAAATCCTTCCGGCAACAGATCAGCATCTATTGTGTTAGTGCGAATTACATCCATATTTTGCATATTTACCAGCAACCACCAGCTTATCTAACAAAGGTTACCTCTCCAAATTTATGGTACCTAGGTCCAATGTTTTGAAAGGCATGCCTAAGCGCGCCTGAGAGTGTGAGGCGAGGAGAGGCGATGGTAAAACGCCTCAAGTGTACCTCTGTTTACCGATTGTTGTTAAAGGCATACACAAGTTACGGAGGCCTACGCCAAATTCCAAAAGCGTACGCGTGAAATTGCAGAGGCGTTGCAGAGCGGAGAAGAAGACGAGCAAAAAGCCAGCTTTTCAACATCTATGGTTTTTAAGTTTAAGAATATAACATAAGCTCAGGTCCCACTTCCTCCATTCCTTCACAATAAAAAATTATTATATTAATTAGTCCCTCCTGTGCCTTGTATCTTCTGCTTTCACCCAATAGAAGGTTCAAAAAAATCAGATTTCCCTCTGTTTCAATTTTGACTAGCTCTCAGCCATATCCACCCACATATTTCTAACGGAAGCCTCTCTTTCAATCTATTCAAACAAGATGTGAATCCTATCTTATAAATTTGAATTCATATCCAGTCTAAATCAATTTAGGGCTTAAAGAGAGGCGTGAGATGTTTCAATTTATGAATCAATGACCTCACAACATATATGGATTATATGTTTTACATATTATTAATATACTAATTTATTTTTATTTGTGATAATTGAATATTCAAAAGACTTACGCATCGCTTTGTGAGACATAAAACGCCTCACTTCAACGTTTCACCTTTCAAAACATTGCCTAGGTCAAATGTATATACGTAGTAGATAATCATCAATTCATCAGAAACGATGAATTAATATTTAACAAAAAATAAGTCAATAATTCAAATTTTAAACACAAGTTTATTTTGACCTTTTGTTTGTTAAGAAAAAAAGAAAGTAGTAGTAGTCTAAGATTGGGAGGATGACAATCTAAAAACGCTAATATCGTAATATTCTATAATCACTCGCTGCTATCGTAGTATTCTATAATCACTCGAAAAGAAAAGAGTTATATATTAATTGGTAGTAGTATTCTATATAATCACTCGAAAAGGAAAAAGAGAATATATTACGTTATTAGTATATATAAAAGGAATTCATTGATGTACAAGTCGGTAGTAAAGTAATTAATGAAGTTAAAGTAGAAACCTGATTATAGCCGCGATGTTGGATGGCATCGACAATGTTTTGAAGATGGAAGCCACCTCTGGAGGTCTGGAGAATGGTGCCACCGATCTTGTGCCAGTTGTGGACAAGCTTGGGGTTAAGTTGCAGGGGTTCCAATTCCTTAGAGTAAAAGCCACGGTAGCCAGCCTTGATACCGAAAATTTGACGGACAGCGTAGAGGTCCCAGAGGCCAAGAACGAGCTCTCGAACGACGGTGTTGAGGCCCGGGCAGAGGCCACCGCAGGTGACAATAGCGGCCTTTGTGCTTGACACCTGGAAAAAGATTTGGCGTCGTGGGCCACCGCGGTGGTAGGCAGCAGCAGCAGCATCATCATCATCATCATCTAAGGAAGTAGCAGAAGCAAAACTAGGTTGGTGTTGGTAGTCGTAGACGATGTGGCGGAGGACAACATCGGACGGGGTTATGTAGAAGCCATGGGAGTGGGAGGATTGGTAGAAGGGGTTGTCTTCAAGTGGGTTGGTGTGGCTGCTGCTGCTGCTCCTTTGAAAGCCGCCTGATGATGATGATGAGAGATCATCATCACTAGTAGTAGTAGTAGTAGGAGTAGGAGTAGTAGTAGCGTAGTAGTCGGTTAGGTGGGGTAGCTTATGGAGCTTCACACGATTAGAGAAAGACAGTTAAATTAACTTATTTCTTGTTGTTTTTGGCTCCGTTGTTCCTGTTGGGTTAATTTGGTTGTGGGAATAATCTGGGTCCGCCTCCATCGTCTCCTCTGTCTAGCTAGCTGATTAAGCTATATATAATCAGTTATTAGTTGGTTTTGTAACTTATTAATTGCTGTTGAAACTGAGGATCAGCACAGCATGTAATGTACGGTAAGCCGTTAAGAGAGAGAGAGAGAGAGAGAGAGAGAGAGGCCAGGCGCACACAGCGGTGAGGTCTGAACCCGATGGAGAGCAGAAAAGAATAAGAAGAAGAAGAAAGTGCAGGTGGCGTGCCCTCTTTCAACTTGCAAGACAGTAGACACGTGCCCTCCACGTAGCTAGTGATTTGTGTTGCAAGACAATACAGGACGACGCGTGCTCCACTCCAGACGTACGTTGCGATTTCTCGTGGTCGATCGAGGAGGAGTATGCAATTGCAAATTTGCCCCTCCCCCTTCCCATGATTCCCAACACAAAACACACAAATTTAATGATCACAGAGAAACAACACAAGACCCAACATTTTGCTGTGGACTCTTGACTTTTGACTCTCGAGTCTTGACACTGTTCAGGAGGAGAGGCAAACTGAGTGCAGCCTGGATATTAATTAATTAATTAAATTCAAAATTAATGAATCATGATCATATAAATTTGGCTGGAAACATTACATTAATATTATTTTAGCATCACGTCATGCATGGTTACGTTGGCCAAATACTAACAATTTTGAAAAGGGCTGGACTTAATTGGAATATTTGCGTAGCTTAATTAATATTCATTTCAGGGAGGCTCTAGGTTTAGGGTCTTCACACATCTGCGACGGTGATAATTTCAGTAGTCTTAAACTTTTTCCTTAAGCTCTTAGCCAAGTTGCAGGCGTCTACTCCTCGCCCAATCACCACCACTATGTCTCTCTCCTCTCCTAATCCCAAAAAGCTCACACCTGCAGTCAAAGCAGAGAAGATGAGAATGGGGTTTTTCTAATTATATTAATGATGGAGCATGTGCTTTTGTATTTTGTATATACTTATAATTACTAACTCGCCATACCATCTGATTTGGCAACAATTTTGAACGCCTCCTGTTGGCATTTCTGGCAATTCATAGGTACTTTCATCACAATCTTCTTAGTCTTACACTGCATATCAAAACCACAAATTTATAATTAAATGGGGTTGGATTGGGTTGGGTGAGCGTGCTGCTGCTGCATGAGTGTTATAATAGAAATGTAAGACAGAGGAACAAAGGCGTGCTTGCTAAATGATGATATACACATACGTAA